TCTTCTCGCAGTAGCGCTGCACCTGCAGGACCAAACCCAGGCCCCGGGTGACTAAGACACCGTCTGCACAGCCACCCTCCCACCCGAGCTCAGCATTCCCACCAGGCTGCCCCACACCCCACACTGCACAAGCACTCCCTGGTGGCTGGGGAGACTCTCCCAAGCCTGACAGACCTGGCCCCCACAAACAAGGCTCTATGGCCCAGCAGGTCCTGCAGGGATCCTGATGGGATGGAGAGCTGGGGTGAAAGGACTGTGGTGTGACCACACTCTGCAAAACTCCTAGGAGCACGGCCTCCCCTTGCCCCGGCTGGAACCCTTCCTTGCCCCAAAGTGCCTTGGTTTCTCCTAACAAGGAATGAGAGCTGGAAACCGAGGCTGGAGTGAGAGGAGTTCCGAATTATCCTTTGTGAAGGGCACTTGGGAAGACAGACCTCGGAAACAGGTTTTCAGAAATCATGAGCTCATATTGGTATTTCTAAATCAAAACTGAACACGGCCCCCCTGCTTTCCTTTCAGGTGACAGCATCTAAACGGGGCCTTGGAGAATTAAGAGTTAAAAAAATAAATCATCCATGCAAAAGAAAGGCAGGGCTGGGGCCTGCTCAGCGACAGCGGGTTTGGCAAGTGTACACCATGACTGCAGTCTGCCTGCCGCTCACCCACGCTGGGCCTGGTGAGAGTTCGAGCCTTAACGATTTCTAAACAGTGACATCCCTCAGGTTAGATTCAACACACTGGTTTGTAAAGAACACGGGAGTAAGGTGGAGAAAATGGAAGTGAAGAGTGAGGAAAGAAGGCAGGAGTGGGGCCCGCAGGGGGCATGGTGGTGAAGCCAGCTGGACTCCCACACGGCCGACTGCAGTTTAAATCCCGAGCTGAGTCCCAGAACTGGCTGCTTAGAAACTATGCCAGGTATGTGTGCAAGTGTGCCCAAAATCCCAGGAGAAGAAGGAAGAGAGGGGTCTACAGCGTGGCCATCCTCCCAGGGGCGATTTCTCACTTTCCCTCTCACTGTCTGTCTCTCCAAGCACATGCACCTTATGACAAAAACCTAAAAGAAAAAAAACTAAAAAAATCAGAAGACAGGAGAGAGCCCATATCAGAGAGGCTGGTTATGTGTAGTGATGGCTGGGTGAACTCAAGAGCTTCTTCAGGTGACACGAAGGAAGAGTCAGAGACAACTCAGATCCTAGCCCGTGTGACAGGGACGATGTTCCCTTGTTACTCAGATGTGGGTGAAAAGGGATCTTGAATTGTGTGAAAATACTGTCACTGGGATTCTGTGGCCTAGTGGGTTAAGGAAGGCAGGTTCCACATGGCCAACAGCACTCTGAATGCAGGCCCTGGCAGTCTGAGGAACACCGTGTGTGTACATGCCCCAAATCCCAACAGGATGGAGAAATGGAGGAGAGACTGCGGCATGACCATGCCCCACTGAGGGTGCTTTCTCTCTCTCCCTCTCCCCCCCACCCCACACACACCCTCTGGCAGTAACAATTAAAAAAAAAAAAAAAAAAAAGGCACAAAGAGGAAAAAGGGGGGAAAAAAAAAAAAAAAAAAAAAAGGCTCAAGTAAGACAAGAGAGGAGTTAAGTGGAGCACCCTAGCGCACGTCCCCCTGGACCCAGCTGCAGGGCCCTGGACCTCACTCACTAACCGATTTCCTGTTTCTGCCTAAAAGTCTGGGGAAGAATTGGCTGGAGAGAGAGAGAAAGGTGGTAAGGACCTGGAAATCTCTATTTGTGCAAATGAGGTATAAAGAAAGGCACTTTTTGGGGGGCCAACAGGTGGCGTGGTGGTTAAGGTGCTGGATTCCTACATGGCCAACTGAAGTTCAAGTCCCAGTCCTGGTGGCTTAAAATTCATGCCAGGCACATATGTCTGTTCCCCCAATCCTGAGAGAATAGAGACGGGATTGCAGCATGGCCTTCCCCCCGGTAGAAGTGCTTTCTCACTTTCCCTCTCTGTCTCTCTCTGGGGAATGCACATGCCCTATAGCAAAAACCTAAAAAAAAAAAAAAAAAAAAAAAAAAAAAAAAAAAAAAGAAAGAAAAAAAGAAATAAACTCACTTATTCTGACCAATCTGTGGGACCCTTCAATCTGAGATTGCAGATACACTTCTTTAAGGGTTAAGTGCGCAGGTCTGTGTTTGAGAGCCCCGACCTTGTACTATGGGTACAGAAGTCGCCTTTTATCCCGTCCACAGTCTAACACAGCGCCGTGCCCACAGGGCTGGTGAGGAGGAAATCGACAGCCTGTACCTTGAACAGGTTGATGTTGTCAATCTGGCTCTGAAAGAGGAAGTCGTTGATGCTCCTCAGCTCCGTCCCTGACAGTAACAAAGCAAGGGCTGTGGGAGCCACGCTCTGAGCTTAAGCCACCGCTCAGTCCCAGGCGTAAGCTCGGAGGCTGCTCAGCTCAGCTCTTACCTGACTGCGAGAGGCTCTGTGCACTGGGATTCTGCTTAATGTTCCCTACGAAAGAGAATTTCAACTGGTCAGGACCTGGGCCTCTGCCCCTCCTTCCGCGTCCTCACCCTCTATGATCACTGAGCTCCTGGTAAGACGAGCATCGTGAGTGGACGAGCTCTTGGCTCCTGTGGCCACATATAGCATACGAAGAACCCACTGAGGGTTGGAGAGTCAGGGAGCACAAGACCAACTCCCGTGTTTGCCCTGAGTCTTCACCCTTATGCTCCCTCCAGGTGGCAGGGACCAAGTGTCACCCTCTCTTACACAGGAGTGTTGGAGCAGAGCAGGGTGAAGGGCAGAGTGGCCCTTCTCACAAAGGGGTGTGGGAGAGGGCAGGACAAAGGATGGAGTGGCCCCTCCCCGTCTCACAGGGGTGTGGGAGCAGGGAAGGACAGAGGATGGAGTGGCCCCTCCCCATCTCACAGGGGTGTGGGAACGGAAGGACAGAGGATGGAGTGGCCACCCCCCATCTCCCACAGGGCATGGGAACAGTGAACCCGGGCAAAGGCAGAGATGGCGGCCAAGAGTACCAAGGTCACATGAGGGCTCCAGAAATAACCCAATTGGCTTTCTAGAACTTTGGCTCCTACAGAAGCCTTCAAGGATTCTGCCATATAATAAAGGGAAGTGTTGGGACCAGAAGATGGCGTAAAGGTTAGATCGCTGAACTCCCCTGTAGTGAGGATGGTTTGAGTCCCAGACCTGGCAGCTTAAAACTCACACCAGGTATGTGTGTGTGCGCGCCCAAAATCCCGAGAGAATAAAGAAGGAATAACAGAGTGGCCTTCACCCCTGGAGGTTGATTTCTTGCTTTCTGTCTTTCTGTCTCTCCAGCAAGAGCATCCTTTAGAGAAAAACTCACTCTCTAAAAAACAAAACAACTGTGGGGGCTAGCAAGTAGTGTAGTGGTTAAGGCACTGTACCCCCACATGGTTTACCATGGTTCAAGTCCCAGACCCAGCGGTTTGAAACTCAGGCCAAGTTCATGGGCATGTATGCTCCAAATCCCAAGAGGATAGGGACCAGCAGATGGCATAGTGGTTACATGGCTGGACTCCCCACATGACTGCAGTTCAAGCCCGGACCCAGTGGGTTTCAAACTCATGCTGGGCACATGTGCATGCATGCCAAAAATCCTAGGAGGAGAATGGACCCTGGTGTGGCCAAACCCCCTGGGAGATGACTTCTCGCTTTCTGTCTCTTTGATGAGCGCGTGTGTCCTATAGTTAAAAAAAAAAAAAAAAAAAAGAAAAAAAGAAAAAAAAAATCTCCAAAATCCCAAGAGGAGAATGGAGGAGAAGGGACTGCAAAGTAGTCATCTTCCCTGGGTGATGATTTCTCATTTTCTGTCTCTCTCTCTCTCTCAGTTCTTCTGGCAAGCACATGTGCCTTACAGCAAAATCTGTCAAAAAAAAAAGAAAGAAACTGTGGGTCCAGCAGATAGAGTGGTGGTTAAGGCAATGGATCCCACATGGTTAACACTGTGATTCGAGTCCCAGACCTGGCAACTTGAAAATCATTCCAGGCGCATGTACGTGTGTTCCCCAAATCCAGAGAGAAGAATGGAGGAGAAGGAACTGTGGTGTGGCCATTCCCCACAGGGGTGATTTTCTCACTTTCTGTCTCTGGCCAATACACACACCCTATAGCAAAAACAAGAAAGAGAGAAAAAGAGAGAGAAGAGGGAAAAAAAGAAAGGAAAATATATGTGCAAATGCTCTGAAAACTCCCAAGTACTACAGCTCTTCCATAAAATGTTATAAAATTATAGAGCATCATTACCACCTCCAGAGGAGGATCTAGCAAATACAAGGGATCTTCAAAGAGCTCATGGAAGATGCATATTATAAAAAAAACTACACATGGCTTTCAAAAAACTTTTTTGCACCAAAATAACTCGTATTTTAATTCCAGTTTCCACAAACTTTTTGAAGTCCCCATATTTAAGACTCTGGAATGTGGACCGATAATCTAGGATTCTAAAAAGATCTGAGGACATACAACTCAATGAAGCAATGAAAATAAACAGGATCTTCTCAGAGCCAGCAGGTGTCATAGTGGTTGGGGCACTGGACTCCCACATGGCTGACTGACTCCCACATACCAGACCTAGTAGCTTAAAAATCATGCCAGGCGGGGGACCAGCAGCTAGCGCAATGGCTGTGTTGTTGGACTCCCATGTAGTCGAACATGGTTCGAGTCCCGGACTTGGTGGCTTAAACTCACACCAGGTGCACGTGCGTGCGTGCCCAGGATCCCAAGAGGAGAATGGAGAAGAAGGGATTACGGCGTGGCCATCCCCCCTGGGGGGTGATTTCTTGCTTTCTGTCTCTCTGTCTTATCTTTCTGGGGAGTGTGCACTATAGCATAAACCTCTATCTCAAAAAAAAAAAAAAAATCATGCCAGGCGGCTGTGCGTATGTGCCCAAAATCCCAGGAGGAGAATGATTAGTGGTGTGGCCACCCCTACTCTGGGGGTGATTTCTCACTTTCCCTCTCTGTATCTTTTTCCACAATACACACACCCTATGGCAGAAAAAAAAAAAAAAAAAAGGCTCTCCAAAATCAGCGACCAAGAGGAGTCTCGGCCACAGGAGGTCTCGGTGCTCCTAACTGGCATCCAGGGAGACCTCCAGCAAGTCCTGCAGCAGGGGTTAGCCAGGGCGCCTCTTACCCCCCAGCACGGTCACGAACTTCTCCAGCAGGTACAGGATCTGCTTAATGTACATCAGGTTCTTGGCCTTCAGACGCTTCCTGCGGGGCAGCACCGACATGGAGGGCAGTGCCCGGGGAGCCTGCCCCCCACCAGCCCCAGCCCGGGCCTTCTTTTCAGCTGCCTCTCAAATGGGGTCCCAGCTGCAAGGTCCCTTGCAGAAACAAGGTGGTCCCAGCCCTCAGCCCCCAGGACTGGCTGTCCTAAGCACCCTGGGCCTGTGTTGCATTGCAAACCTGGGACAGGCACAGCATGTGGGGTCTCCCCTCCACTCAGAGGGCAGCGTCTCACCCGTATCGTTCCATATACTGGCACAACTGGGAATGGGCCTGGCAGAGCTAGGAGAGAACAGAGGATGCAGTGAGGGCGCAGGCTCGAGGCAACTGCTCAGGCTGTGCCTGTCGAAACTCAGACCATGCCAACAGCATGCCAGGACAAGACACACAGGGTGACCATGGCTCGGGAGGCTGAGCCCAGGCAGTGGTATGGGGTTTAAGGGCACTTGGGCTGGTGGGCGCTGAGACAGGGAGGATGGTGAATTCTCCTCATGTCCACTTTGGGTCAGGGAAAAGCAAGAGGCGGAGTGCCCAGGATAGGGTCCCTCCCAGCTAATGTCTCTGAGTTGGGAAGAGACGTCACCTACTGAGAATGCTGGTTCAAGGTTCTCTCACGTCCCGGCCTGAGGGTAACCCGGGCACTAGAGGGGGAGGTCATGCAGGCTTCACAGTCAGAAACCAGTGCTCAAGGCCTGGGCCCTGCTCATGAGCTGTGTGACCTGCTTAGGCCTCTGCACCTCCAAGTTCTGATGTAACAGAACACTGCCCCATAGTGGCGTGAAGATCTGGACACCAGGAGCGTGCATGGGGCCCCACAGAGGAACAAGTGTGGGGAGCTTACAGGGTTCCAAGCAGCCCTCAGTCCAGCCCCCTCAGAGCCATGTCCCAACCTCACAAGGGTTCCCGCTGCATCACGCCACCACCCCAGCTGCAGAGAACTAGTCAGGAGACCCCGGGCTGGCAGGACCAGGGTGGGGGGTGGCGGCAGGAAAGGAGCCACTCTGGGACTCCCGGGTTCTGGGATCTGCTGCACAGCCACAGTCAGCCTCTGATCAGGCCACCCCGTCCCAGGGCACCGTCTGCCAAGCTCCGAGGGCTCCCAAGACCCAGAGAGGGAGAGGCCGACCCACCTGGGCGCCGCTGACCTCCGCGCTGTGGATGCCTGTGATGGTGTCGATCAGGTTGTGGGCCTCGTCGATGATCACCACCTGGCCCTGCAGCCGGATGCCGGCGGCCTGCCGCGTGGCCGCATGTAGCAGCATCTGGTAGGGCAGCACCACCAGCTGGGGAGGGACAGGCCACCTGAGCGGGTGGGACTCCACTTGGCAAGGCTGGCCCCCGCTCCAAGCCGTGTGAACCGTGTGACTTCCTGCCCAGACTTCGTGTGAGAGCATGTGAGACAGCACCACGCTGCAGCCACAGGCCCTGCCTGAAGTTCCCCGCGGGAGGTCAAACACAGACTCACAAAACGGGCTGACCTGGCTCCTGACCCAACCAAGGCAGGGTTGGAACGGAGAGAACTCCTGCTGCTTGGCCTCCTCTGGGCCCCAAAGTAGCCGAAGCCCCCTAAGGCCCTCAAGAGGCAGGAAAACGCTGGCCCATCAGAAAGCTGCCTGGTTCTGTCCCGGAGCTGCTGCTTCTCCACTGTGTGACCCTGGAAAAGCTGCCTAACCTCTCTGAGGCTCAATAGATCCCATCTCAGGTTGGGGGTAAGGAGCGAGGGAGGGCATAAAAGTAAAAACAATCTGTGTTTCTTGGTGTGTATTATGAAGACTTTCTACTTAAAACTTGGGGCCAACAGGTGGCATGGTTAAAGTGTCGGATCCCACATGGCCAATTCTGTGGTTCAAGTCCCAGACCTAGAGGCCTGAAAACATGTCAGGTGTGTGTGAGTGTGTGCCCAAAATCCCAAGGGGGGAGCGGAGAAGGGACTGCAGTGTAGCCATCCGCTATGGGGAGTGCTTTTGTACTTCCCCCCTTTTCTCTCTCTCCAGCAGGCATACATGCCCTATGGCAAAAATCTTTACCCCCCCCCAAAAAAAAAATACAAGAAAACACTGATAACGCAAAATGAAAATGTAAAAATGTGGAAACTTAAGGGCCAGGTGTCACTACTGGCCCCATCACTCTCTGGTGGTAAGAAAATAGATGAATCAATTAACCTTCCTAGGTCCCCAGGTCGTGTGCAGAACGTAGAGATTTCAGCGGGATGTCAAAAAGGCGCAAGGGAGGTGCAGAGCGCTTTAAAGGCCCCAGCAGGTGCACTTCCCGGCCATCTCATCATGTGTGCCCATGAAGGGCTGCAGCACCAGGCTGCTCTGGGGCGGAGATGAGGGTGGCGCCCTCCCCAGGCCACATACACAGTCCAGGGCAACGTGCTGGTCAGGCACCTCACTGCATGTCCCTGCATCTCTCCAATCTGCTTAAACCTTTTCTTCATTACCCTCAGTTCTTCACAAGTAATATCCTGTTTGTAAATGTCACTCAGACTTAGGAAGTAGCAGGAAGCAGTTAAATCAAACCCACCGAATCGCAGTGAGACGCCACGCTGACCTATCAAACTTTCTCTGCTACACGCGAGGGCTGCAGCCGTGGCGACCCTCCCCCACCTACAGCTCGGTCTGAGGCAGGGGCCATCACCCTGAAGCCCCTTACTCTGTGTCCCGTGGCCCCAACTGCACCCCTCAGTGCTTTCACTGGGACACACGCGCCTTCCTGTCTCCTGCCTGTTGTCCTCTAGTACAGCCCAGAGCCACCAATGTGCCCTCGCCCTCCAACCCAGAAAAGCTCCGACTCCCAGGGGAAAGTGGGTGACACACCACTGCGTGTAGAGCGGCTGTCTTTTTTTTCTTGGAGAGGTTTTTTGCTGTAGGGTGCACGTGCTCACCAGAAAGACAGAGACAGACAGAAAGTGAGAAATCACCCCCCAGGGAGATAGCCACGCCTCAGTCCCTTCTCCTCTTGGGATCTTGGGCACACATGCACACGCGTCCGGCATGGGTTTAAGCCACCGGGTCTGGGCCTCGAACCACGGTCAACTACATGGGAGTTCACTGACATAGCCATTTACGCTAACTGCTGGTCCCAGAGCAGCTATCCTCCTGATTTAAGGGGACAAGGAAACCCCTGAGGCCTGGGCCATTAGAGCCACACTGTTTCCCAAGTCCCGAGCCCTCACCTGAGCTGCGGGAACAGCAAACCGGCTCCCATAGTAGGGGCAGGCCCGGGCCTCCTTCCCTATGGCCACCAGCTGCTCGATGTCCTTCACCTCCACTAGGATCTCGTCCCGAAGCAGCTGCATCTGCTCATAGTTGTGGAAGGGACAGGCGGGCCCGGCCTCCCCCCGCCCCC